CATCCTACAAAACCCGGGCCTAATCGCCAAACACCATTTCATTCACTTGTTATAACTGTCATCATTATGTTTCATTTATATAATGTGACCTGATAATAAACATGTATTCCATACATCACGTCTCTCCTGATTGAATTATTATTACTATTTAGTTTTTCTTTAGTTGTTTTTCCGTTACATTGGAGTATGACAGGTGAGGCCTCCCCTGTCTCCCCTGACTGCACGTCGCTGGTGTATTCACTCTCTGTCCTAAACGCCTTGTTGGAGCTCCTGCCCCCCCCTCCCTATGAGCCCACTGTGCTCTGATGTGTGATTATGTTTTAAAATGGCGTTTGTTAGCAACCAAATGACACCAGTAATGACAAACAGATGAGAATGCTGCATGGGGTCTGGGTGCCGTGTGGGCGGGACGTTGCGGGGCTCGCTGCTGCGCCCTTTGAGACTCGAGGAGCGGACAGTGTGAGCTGGATTACTGGTGTCGTTTCCTGGTTGCTGCGTGGGGTCTGCGGGACAGCGAGACACCGAGGAACTCAGCCTGAGCACACACACGAACTGGTGAACTGTGAGTGGAGATCCACGGAGCCGCGGTGAGAAAAGATAAGGCTGAGTGAGTGTGTGAGGAGCTCCACGGATTGGTCCATTTGGAGTTGGGTATGGTCACGTCACTATAGTCAGGAAGAAAACAATGGAAAAAGAGAAATCCTCAACGAGGCGTTCTGGGGCAGCATAGACAGGTCTTTTCTGTGTTAGAGTTTTACTCGCTACAGGGTTTGACTCTGCAGACCGTTTACATGCAGAAAAAGCTACATAACACACAAGGGGACGGGTAATAACCGGAAAAGCATGACATGGGACCTTTAAGAGTAAGGATGTATCCATTAGGGGTGTATAACAAGTAGTAACCACATTAGCATCAAACAAACAATAATCAATACATTACAATATACAAAGATGACCTGCAGCATATGATCATTACATGACATATGATAAGTCTCATATAAACTTTCGTTTACATTTGATTCATTTTTTTTTTGACGAATAAAGGATAATCTCATTTTATTTGTATCTTATTTGATCTGATCTTATCTTCACTCTGGGTTTTCTGTAAATCTTGCTGATCAACACAATGCAGTCAGACATGATATCAACATTATTTTAAACTCTGCGCCCGAGGGAACACAGGGATGTTAGCCTTTGCAGACCATTTACATGCACTAAAACCTACATGACACACAGGTGTCGTGTAACTTCAAACATCAGAGGCGCCAACATCAGTAACACCATTCTTCTTTTCATCATACTTCTCTTAATTCCAATATAATGATCCTCTGACAAAAACTTCTCTCTGTAAGGACACACACTTCATTCATTTCGGATAGAAAACACCTAAAAGATGACCGGTGAAATGTTGAAAACACGGTGATGAGGTGATATCATGTTGTTTTCTAGTGTCATCTGCAGACATAGTGTTTTGCTTCAGTGAGGAGAAACACGTGACTCCAGTAAGAAGGAACAGCAGTTCAAAACCCGTTCTTTAATTATCCTTTAACAATGATTTGGAAATTCATCACTATAGAGTACCAGCTGCTAACAGAAGAAAAGCCAAAAACTATTATTGATACAAAGCCTGAAGGCCCTTTGTCGCTATGAATTAGCAAATGGGATTTTCAATGTTGTTCGTTCAAATGAATATGCATGACCTAATATCTAATGGGTTGATTAGGATTTGTGTTATTTAAATACAGACATGACTTCTTTCTTTATTCTCACTAATCATCTTTTAGAATTTGGTTTTCTGTGGTGGAATAAAACGAATCATTGGCGAGCTGTGAGTGGACGACTGTCTGTGTGCCTCCGTTTCAATTGTATTTCTTTCTTTAGTAAACAGAAAAGCGACCGCAATGACCATAACCAAATGACGTATGACCAATAAAAGCCTTGAACCTTGAATGCATTTTGGTCTTTTGCTGTTTTTACCTGACTGAACGACCAAAGGATAATTCAAAAACAAAAGCCCTCATCTGGTAAAAGACACACAGAAAGCTTTTGAGATATTTTTGGAATAACAAAACAATTGAGACCGGCTTTAATGCCCTCTCAGAGTCTATATTGATAAGAATAGCATTACTGGGGGCGGGTTGAGAGTGGGCACCGAGCTATAATGCCGAGCGATTAAAACATAACTTATAAACGTAAAACGTGATCAACCCGCACTCTTAGGAAGATTCTAGTCTCTGGATTGTACTATTGTTAAACCTGATTGAAGTGAGTCATTGCATAAATTACTGGACAGCTTTTGGACAACGTTACCTAGCTTACAACTTTGTTACCAACTTGACTTAATCAAAAATGATTAAGCAGAGTTTCCCCCAAGGATCAAAATCCCTATCAGGCACTTTCCCTCCAAATTGGCACCACTGACCCCTGGCGCACTGACTGCGATACGATACGATATTACTTTATTGGTCAGATCAAATCTGAAATGTGACATGCATCACAGCAGCTCCATGTGTAACATCAACATAGACAAATATCAAAGCGCAATACATGAAAAACAAACAACAAACATTTAACATAACAGCACAATCACTGAGAGAAAACATGACTAAAATGGATTTAAGACGAAATGGAGAACAGCTTGGCTTCTGGAGTAAAATAACTGGGGCGGAGCCTGCGAGCTAGTTCAGGCAGTCAACTCGGGCACCAATGATACATTAACACGTGACGCGCCTCGTCCCTCTCACAACCAACCAATCACATTCTCCTAAACATGCCGCTCTATTTGAGCTGCCAGGTCTTCCTGCCTCTGCCTCGCTATGCTGCTGTGTTTCATGTTGCTGCTGCTCGCCTGCCCCCCCACCACCCCAGCTTCCACCTGTAGGCTCGGGGGATAGTTATCTAATCATCACTCAATGTTCTTTGTAAATCTGTGGAGTGATGAGGCCCGAGCCTAGACGCCAGACTCAAACTATATGCTGCTTCTAATAAACATATTAAGGAGCAGGTGAGCTGTCTGACTGAACCAACCTTTGTGGTGTCTCAAATACATCTATTTCTATAAGCTGTCATCTTCTTTAGGTAACACACTGACTAAGGACAGCTCCATGCTTGTGTGTAGACGTTAACACTGTTAGTTTGTATTATTTATTATAAGAATGAACTCACTTTACGGGGTCTGTGTGTAGATGTTAACACTGTTAGTTTGTATTATTTATTATAAGAATGAACTCACTTTACGGGGTCTGTGTGTAGACGTTAACACTGTTAGTT